GCTAACGCTGGTACAATTATACTGAAATCACATGAAGACAATTAAAACATTAACGGTTGGACTCACATTTTACATAATGTAGTGAAGTTTACCCAAATGCCTAATACTGGGATTTGGGATTTCTTTGGCATGTTATAGAAGTCCAAATTTTTTATTTCTAAAAAATAATACACGCTATTAGGCTAAGATCAATTATTTTCTCAGGTGAGCCTGAAAAGTACAATTAACAACATCTTAACCAGATAAATACAGCATTATAAACCTAGAATCCTCATACCTTGAGCAAAACCTCGTCTGCATAGGCCAGCAAGCATGGCGTCTTCGTTAATTTAATCTTCCAGTCTGGTCTCCAATATAGAACCAGCCAGAATCCTCCAAGTGTCACGACGCACAGGACATAGTACAGGAGACTACGCCACACGGTCTTCTTGTAGCCATAGCAGACCTGCAGTCAATGAAATGATTTTAAAATCCTTTTTAAAATGAGGTATAATAATTGTTGTTGTTGTCTTTCAAGTACAATATGCTCAATTCCATATTAGGGCCACAAACACTAGTTTTAGCTAGTAACTGTCACTGCAGATTTTTTTTTTTTTCCCGCAAATGTATCACTGCAATATTAGGTGTAAACAAAATCTGCATCAATTGTCCCAAACACCTTATCATTCATTCTAATCAAATATTTCCAGCATTCATAACAATTATATCATAGATTTTTAACACAATCCTACTGCTATCAGCAATGTATGAAAGTGAAACTAAGACTCATCTTTTCAAATTCAATGCAAACTCAATTAATTTAAATAACATTTCAACAGCACTTTTCAATTATATTAATTCATAAAGATCAGAAGTAAATCTCCCCACAAGGAATGCAGACCAAGTCCATCTCTGAAGAAAATCCAGCTCAAACATTTTGATTTTTGACATAAAATCGCATTTAATTTTTTCAAGAATCAAATTCTTACCAACTGATCATCTGTTCCTTTGTTGAGTATCTGAGAAAAGTTCTGCTCAGGTGGTCTCAGTTGCTGGTAGCCATTCCTGCTACCTACATCATGACAGAGAAAATGATGTATTAACACAGAAATACATAGGGGTACACACATACATTTATGTAATACATAATGCACTTCTCCAGAGCATTATTTTATATTTGATAGGATATCGAGCACTTGTAGCACTAGCAGACGTGGTGTCGTGGATATCAGGCAAGGGGGGTGCAGTACATACAAAAAGGACGTCATTCATATTTCCCACCCAAACACCCTAATGTCAATAAAAAATGATAATGTCAATGCACACAGGGTGATATGAAAGAGCAGATTTTCCACATTGATGACAGATTTTTTTTTTCAATTGTGGGTATTCCCCCTCATTTCTTTATGTGAATGGTTTATGATTGCACGTATTGTCAGAGATATGACTCAATGGTTTTTGTATCTGGTGGTTGGTTGAATTCCCCCCTTACAAAAAAGTCCTATTGGATCCTATAGGACTTTTTCATAAGTGATAAATATATTGATAGAAGTCCAATTATAAGTATATTTATTTATATGTATTCTAACCATGGGATTGTTACATAGGAAATTCAATATATCATTTTAACACTGTCAAAAATCCTTTGCTAGATCTGAAACAGGATTCTTTAATGTCTCAAATACATAGAACATTTGCCTTTAAAGTATGTATCTGGTTCCCATGGTCACCAAGTACTGCAACTAAGTAAATAAAGCACAATTATGCAACGCCAAATTGGAAATCTAGAAGCAATAAAAATTGACATGAGAATTTAAAATACAAAGAAGAAACCCAATCTATAAATACCCAATACATCAAACATTAGGCATTTGAACCATGTTACATTTTGAAAAAAAATATATGTTTTTGTTCAAAATTTTCATTCATACTGACAAGAGTTTTGGTAGAATGTTTTCATCTGACTTCAAAATGTATGCTCCGTTTTTTCTTAGCAAAATGGAAAATACTGTAATTGGTTAGAAAATATGGAAATATAGTTTACATAAGCTTAAACAGACATTGTGATTCTCATGTGTAACCAGTACATTTATTTACAATAAAAAATTCCTTTATAAATGTTATGTCAACATATAACTAGTGAGACCCATCTAAACCCAATTTGAACATAAATTCATCCATACGTCACTTCTTTATCATTTGCAACTACTATCCTATGTCTAGGACAGCACAGCACACCAAGTACACAGATCTATATGAATTTTACAACAAAAGTCCACAACCACACCCTTGGTAAAATTCAAAGTTGAAACCATTAATTTTCTTACTGACACAGTGACAATACCAGCATTTACCTTAAACAGTGGATAGACCCATTTCTTTTCCCACTACTACTCATCAACAAACAAAAGTGACTACTCCCTATTTACCTTGTCACCACTATCATATAATTACACTGTTACACACCATCTGACTGGACATTTCATGTGGTGGTCCTATGTAATAATTTCAGATGTCTGCTTCTTTATGGGTCGGTTAGTAGTATTGCCCCCTTGGTATAAAGTTCTGTAATGCTTCATATTCCTACAAATCTAGTCTGAGTAAAATGTATTATAGTACTAGCTAGTACTCATTTTCTTTTTCATGGGATAACACAAAGAACAAAAATGAATGCAGCAAGATATTTTTACAAAGGGGAAAACTACATGCAGAATGACCCTCACATAGACAAAACTGAGTAAATATGGAATATAATATATCAGGCAGCAGAAATATAGGAATGACATTTATTCTAAGCTACAAAGACAAACATCAAAAATTCCCATATGAACTGTGTAGAATACCTTCCTCTTCCTGATCATTCTTCTTATCTGAAAGCAGCATGTTTCATACATTTCAATTTCAATCTCATACTTACTGTTCAATACACAACCATGCAAAAAATGCCTCATTTAACACTCACTTATGGTTCTCAATCTCTCCAAGAACATGTTTTTTTTCTTTTTATGAAAAATGTTCTCAATCTGTTCCAGGACATTCTGAAAGACTTCCCAAAAACAGTTCTCGAACTGTTACATTCATTACAAAACAACATTAGAACTGTAAAAAAAAAATACACCAACTGTTCTAGAATAGATTGAGAATATTAAATAATACAGATTTTCGCAAGGGAAGTAAACAGCAGTCATTTTTATTTCAAAGATTCATCCAATTAGAAACCTTGCTTGCTTTTGTAATCTCTTTAGTAATGGGGGGGGGGGGGGGGCAAAGATGATGGAAAGACAGAAGGAGCCAATGAAAAGTGAGCACTAGCCTGTGCAGGTCACATGAGTTACTCACACTGACAGACACTATGATTTAGTTAAGGTGATCTGTGAGTTATTACAAAGGCATCTAAACTTAGAACTTGTCTTCTGTACATAGATAAAAAGATTTTACAAACAAAGTTGTACTACACATATGAAATCAAGTGTGTCTCTGTTACACTTGACATAGGGACTCCCAGTGAACTTTTGACTGGGATTTATAATCTGATAATCAGATTGTACTAACGATACAGGTTTACTGATAGTATCAGCCCTTACGCCCTTTACGCCTTCGCACCATTGCTACCCAGCATCTTTAATGCCTTACAGTATAGTTGTTACCTAGTAAAAATGTGACATATAAAAAGCATAATTCTAATTTTCAATACTTCATTTTCTTTTTTTTATGGGATAACAAAAATGAATAACATTTTTTTTTAAATAAAACATATCAGGATTTGAAAGTAAGAAAAAATTTAAACCATCACTCAAAAATCAGTGAGGGAGTAATGATGTACCTAGATATTGTTGAAGAGGAAAAACATTGCATGGGCCCATTACTGTAGGTGATATCATAATTTTCTTAAGGAAAGGAATGATGTGTGGAAATAAAAAGGGAAAAGTGAACAAGAGACACAAAGAAATGACTCATATATATCTTTTTCTTCATATGGACTTTGATTCTTTCTGATCAGAGAAATTAGACCATATATTTCTTCTCTAGCACTCTGGCTACACATATATATGTTATACAGTTATCTTCCTTGTTTGGGTAGATATGCAGCTAAGGCCAGGAAATATTTTAAAGGTTAATTAAAGAGAAGCTCCTACCAACTCAAGTAAAACTTGAACCAGTGTATTTCTTCTTAATTTTATTTAGTACTTATTACTTTGCCCCCAAATGAGAGGAAAACTACAGTCAAGACAGGGTGTCTCGAACAACAGAAGATCATTTCAATAATTTAAAGACTTGGGGGGGGGGGGGGGAAAGGTTTTCCCTCTCACCTAAACAAGTGCCAAGTGGAGTGAACTGAGGCATTTAGCCCAATAATATATTATTCTACAATAATACAAATGAACGAAAGAAAGAGATGGCCCCCGTTTAACTGACAGCACTGGTTAATTGTTCGAAGTTCCAGTCGAGTATGTCGGGTGAACTCACGTCAGTGGCACTGATAGTCAGACAGATTATGAAGACTGCTAATGTCACATCCCTGCAGGCTGCTAACAGTACAGTACGTGTAGTATTATACTGAAACCAAGTCTCACCTGATAGGAGGCTCATCTTCAAACGTATCCAGAATATTTCTCATTCCTTTCTGTCTTGATCAGGTGACTATCCCTCTAGTTTCCTCGGTGGTTTCGCTTTGGATAGATAGAACGTTTAAGAAAAAATGACATTAAAACAAGGATTGAAAGTGCAACCAGGGATAACCATTATGGAAAGACGTTGCACTTTCTATCCCACAATGCAATTGAATGACCTTTCCTGTAGACGCACCTGTCGATTGCCTGTTTACATATCATCACACATTTATAAAGAAACAACGCAATATTGCTTACAGTGGGTTCCATCAGTGGGCTTTTGACGTAAATGTAACATTACAGTTATGAGGCTTAAAATAATAAATAAACTTATATTTAAAGAGCAACTCTATGGGATTTACCCTCAAAAATTGATTTTTCCCGGGAAAATAAGCAATTTTCTCGATCGTACCAAGGAGTTATAACTCCTTGATCGTACTCACGACACATTTATCTTCCCTCTCTTTCGACCTTTAATTAAATTTATAAAGGTTAACTGAGTTAAAAAAATGACTGGCCAGTCAGTATAACCGTACCATCTTCCTAACCTCCTAAGTATCAACACCAAGAAAAAATATTGAAATGGGTTAAATCATTTTTAAGATGTATGTAAGGTTTTATAAGAAGCTGTGGATGACAAAAATAAGCATTATGGGGATTTTCAAACCCATAGAACGTGCTTTTCACCTTGCTCCAGTAGCTGCAGAGGCGCGAGCAATTCCTTAAAGGCTTTGAAATATGCGGTGTTTTTTTTAATCTGAAATTGAACATATGCTGGTTTTAGCCACGCTTTCTCTGTTCCTAAATCTGTTTTGTTCATGATGATAGATCTATAAAATATGCAAAGCGCTGTTGTCACAAGAGCTGTCTCATATGTATAAATCTAGATAGAGCTATTATATGCACTTTCTATGGAGACACGTCACTTTTTATTTTTATTTTTTATTTTTTCATGAAGGATACCTGTAGATAGCCTATCCCGCATATGAGGTACGGGGGCGGATCCAGGAATATTTGAAGGAGGTCCGCGGATGTGAAAAATCGTGTTTCAGTAGCTACTGGGCGAGAGAAAATCCAATTTGCCAAGCCAACGTCCGTCTCAAACATCGGTCCATGCCGCCAATTAATTATCTTTGTTTCAATATTATTAAAACTATAGGCCCCTATATCGTTTTTTTTACCTGAAATAAAGGGAGACACTTGTAGAAATCGATAAGTTTATTTCAAGTTAGCGATAACACATAGGACTCTCGATAAGTTTATGTCAAGTTGGTTATATCACATACGACCCTACATGAGACCAACGAATGATTTGAAGCGTACATGTGTATATTATAAAATCAGTTTATATATTTTTAGTGTGAAAATAGATTTGGCTGATTAATATGACGTCAATTACCTCATCACGTACATCACACATACAGTACTGACAAGGTGCGTCAATAAAGTTGGATTTAATCCAAGTTGGACAAAACAAATTTTATCTTATCATTTGGCTCATGAGATAAAAATATCAAAAGCCAATTGATATAAGAGAAAAAAAGTCTCTTACAAACAGACGAGGACATTGATGGATCCAAGATATATATTAGGAATGAAGTGGTAGGATTTTTTTCCCACATGGATCCGCCTGTGTCATAATATTCAATGTGTACAGGCCTTTTTTCGTAAGAAGGGTGTCTAAACTGATCTGAGTAGGAGGGGAAATTACCGAACCATAAAACAACGCAATTCTAACCACTATCTCGCCGATTCATTCAGATACATAAACAAATTTAGAAACAACTTATCTGATTCTACATGTACATGTACATGTACGTGCGACATTTGAACAAATAAAAAGGTCACGCGTTTGTCAAACACAGCGTGAACCAGATATCCTATCATATTAGTAGCCATTCCTCTGATTAAAAACCCTGTGATTTTCATGGCTAAATGAAAAATTAACAAGAATTATTAAATACATAGAAAGAAAGAAAAAAGCTGAACGGTGTAAGAATGTAATGAAGAGCAGACAAGCCGATGCGCACTTTGGGACTTGGATTTTCCCATTTCAGTGCCTCCTAGCGAGAGTAAATTAAAACTTTATTCGGTGTTCATTGCCATTTTCTTATTTGTATTTGATATCAAACGCACGCTGCAAAGTCGATAGTGTTTCCTTATGTTATTCTTTTTAACAGTGAGTTATTTCATTCTGCTCATTGGGTATTTCCATATTATCTACCAAGGTGGCAGTATGGGAAGAACGTGGTTCAGAGTCGGCGCCATTGCCCTCTGTATAAGTGAGAGACCGAAGACGCTTTATAGGTGACTTTAAGAAACTGCTTGCTGTTCCTATGCTGCTGACGCTGAAAGACCGCGGTTTCTTTTCTGGGAGTTCGACCAGTGCAAATTTATCATTTTCTTTTTGTTGCTCCTGGCGCGTACTTTGAAGTTCAACACATGTTTCATTTTCGTTATAAAAGTCTAAGGCGTTTTTGTCTGTATCGTCGTTGCTGAAAAAACTGTCACCAAAATTGTTGTTGCTGGGGCTATCATCATCAACTGCTCTGTTTTCCGTGGTTTCAGAGTTCACGGAAGAACTCTTCTCATGCAATGACGTCGGCAGGTAGGGCTGACTGCCGTCTTCTGATTCTTCATCATCGGATGGGTGAACTTTTGATGGGTCCAAGCCAAGCGAACCAAACGCAGCCAGAGAAGCGAGCATTGTTAGAGACGCCCCACTGGACCGTCGTCTGAACCGATTCTCTGAAATAACGACAAGGACATGGTATCACCTTAAAAAACGTGCTATACAATGACACTTCACACAGGCATTACACTATCTGATTTTTCTCCCAAGGCACGCTTTTAAAAACTGAACCGAAAATAAATGTAGTGAATAAAGTTCAAAACGAAAATTGCCTTTGACCAAATGCGGCATCTTGGTTATTGCCCAAAGAGTTAGATATAAATTTGCTGTTATGTTATGCAGGAGCGGTTCCATAGATATTTTCTAATCTTCCAAATTATCTTTGTTGATCCATTCTCCAGTTTGACCATCTTCCGACAGAAAAAATTAGATACTAGTCAATGTAAACTTGAAAATCTGACCGTCCTCTGGAATACCCAAAAGATTTATATGATAGAAAACCAATGAAGTTCCGACTCACCGTTGCCCACCTGCGGCTTACAGGCGTTTATGGCATCTTCTGGTGCTTCAAACTTTTTGCACAATCCACGTAAAGCGCGTATTTCTTGCTGTAATGACACAAGTCATGGTGAAATGGGGTTTTCATAGTCTCTTGTGTAATAATGGTAATATATTTTTATTGTTGAGGCATAACGTTTCGACCCCTCTCCCCCCCCCCAAAAAAAAGGGGGGTGATCACAGGACTGAATCGTCATGCCTCATGCAAATGTAGGTAGAAAACGATTTGTTTTTAATTTGTTTTTCGTTAATTGCTAAATTTGGCTACATAACAGAAAATCCTTAATTAAAGTTAATAACAGTTTGAAACAACGAAATTGTACAAAGGTGATATTCTGAACCGTGTTTGCTAATATAGGCGACAGGTTACCTTGTGACGCTCGGCCTGTTTGATCAAGTCGGACACTCGTTTCAGCGCTTTTTTGCGGCCGCTCTTGACCATTTTCATTGCAATGTGGTCCTTTTCTTTCACAGTCATCACAAAACCTAGCAAATTGTAGAAGAACGAATCTACAGTTGAGACATAAAATGGGTGCATCTGCTAAAGAAGGAACTGAAATCCAGACACAGTAAAAATCAAATCAGTTGAGATTCCGATCGTGGTTTTACCAGGGTGAGGTAGAAATACATATACATGATATGCACATCATGCTGGGGTAGCGCTAACACTCGCCAATTTAGCCAAATGCTAAAACTGACTTAAATTGGTTAAAGAAAAAGGGCTTGATATGACATGTTTTAGCCAAATTATAACCATTATGATAACAAATTGACAAAAATGTGGTGATTTGGCTAAGTGAAAAAAATTGCTAGCGCTACCCCAGACATGCCTTAGTGTAAGGTAGGGATGGTACATGCGCTGGTGTTTTATCAATTAGGGATATACATGCACAGGATTAAAATATCAGAAATGATAATCTAATATCAAGCCAAAATATATGCAAACACAAGAAAAACATCAATAAATACTGCCCCCATGTTTTCAGGGTTTATGAATCTACAAGTCAATTTTACCCTCTCATCACCGTTCAACTGCATAATGTATTCTCATTTCCGGAGCCCTGGTAAAAGTAATGTATTTAAAATGAAAATCAAAAATAAGAGGTCCAAGAATCATTTGACGTCACATAAGTGATTAGGCTTGTTCTACATTAAGTACTACGAACTGAAATTAATGGAAGCCCCCCGATTCGAGGAAGACCTCCTGTGAACTACAGGTGCCCTCACATGGTTAAATAGTCCAATTAATTTTAGATTTGCAATGTTTCCGGCATATCTTGCACTGGAAGTATATATTGACACCTTTATCGCGAAACAATAACCTAATGCTACAATTCTTATTACCCTCCATGGTAAAAAATCACTTACTGTTCACAATTCTTATCACCCTCCATGGCACTAAGACAAGCACTAATACTGCTGCCTCCCCGGTATCGTCAGACCAAATACCTTTCAAAAACGCCAAGTCTAACACAAGTGAAATGGTGACCACGGCAGCATCAAATACCTATAATATATTCACATTTGATTACTGTTTTATCAGCCTTGTTAACCAACAATGTTTGTCGCTATTTAGATAATCATTGCTGAGTTTACGTAATTGAAATATTATCTCTTAAGATTAAAAAAGCGAAGTGGGTGAATATTTTTCTACAATCTGCATTTTGGTTCTTAGATGTATCATTTGAATATGTCTTGTTTTAACATGGCAGCTAAGGTTCTCCCTAAACACCGAATTAAAAGACCAAGCACGAGGCTCACGAAGTCGAGAAAATTTCGTAAATCCCCATCCAGAAAATTATCAGGAAAACGCAACTGGATACTTGATTTTGAATAAATGGAGTCGACAGGGGGACTGGCGGACCCAGAATTCTGCTAGGGGGGGAGGAGGGGGGCAGGATCAAAAGATTTTGGCGATTGAATAGAGTCAAATTGAAATTAGTAGACAAGAACAATTAAATCATGATATATAGGGTACAGGGATGGAAATGTTCTTGGTTTGGTCTCATCTCTCTTTTTATACTGCTTTGTGAGAGGGAGGCAGCACGTGGCCCTCTTTGCCCCCTCCCCCCATCTCTGCCCCCCCCCGCCCCTCCCCCTAGATCTGCTACTGAGAAGAGTAGAAAGCGCGGTATGAACCCCTTTTATAAGAACTTTTTCGCCAAAAATTCAACTTCTGTGCATTTTATTGATTAAATATCACTTACCTGAAACTTATACTGAAAGAATCTTCTTTTTGTTGCTATTATTCTCAAACAGTGCTGCAAGAAAAAAAAGGTAAATACGAGATTCTACATGTTTGCTTCCCACCAATGAAATTTTCAAAAAAAAAAAAAAAACTATTTGTCTATTGAAGAATTTTTAAGTGTACTACTAACAAAGACTGCACAGGTTTAGAAAAACTGAACACTGTTATGGAAAGATAGGAAAACAACATACCACAAAAACAATACTTGACAGAATAAAAAGACTCAGCATATGCAATACGTGGCCGATTTCTTTCAAGACATGTTCGAGGGCATGGGGGCATTGGTCAGTATCACCAGGAAGTGAACAATTGCTAGGCTGCCCAGGGACTGCCTGCTTTGTGAGTGATCCTGTCAGTACATTCAAATACAAGACGCCGGGTTCTTCGGTTTGGGTCGGGGCGTGACTAACGGTGCTCTCAGACGTGGTTGGTCTCGGGCAGTGGATGTTGCTAATCTTGCGGATTAAATCTGAGACGCTTTCTGTAGCAATGCTTTTTAAGTGTGGAAACCTGTCATACAGAGCTTGACGAATGGAAGTCACGTAAGACTCTGCTGCCTCCGTTTTTCCTGCAATACGGACAGTATATCGAGTATTGATATTAAGGGCAAAAGGAATAACCTTCATATGCCATTTACTATTACCTCTTAACCAATGACCTTCGTTAGGTAATTTTTTTCATCAAAATAATTTGTCTCATAATTAAAATAAACACCCAATTAAACGAAAACACATCATGCATTTTTATTTGGCGGTCTACAGTTCTTACCATTGGTAAGAGTTAAATCGATTAGCACTTCCCCTACTACACACGCAGCGTCCGCTATGGAAAGAATGCTGATAGCCATTAGAAGTGGGTAGCTGTACAGATACTTCGTTAGTCTCTTCCTGGAATATCAGTTCATATTATTACTGAGGTCCCGTATTTTGGCCATGATGCTTGAAAAACAGATCGAATTCAACGAAGCAAAGTAATACAGCTATAACTCAATAAATTCGAATAAAATTATCTCTTAATTATCCCCCTCTCCAAAACTGTATTTAATTGTTTGTGATGCTTCAAAATGTTTAATCACAAGATTGAGAGATTAAGTTTTGTGTCAGGAAGTAAATTTTTGTGCGTGTTTGCATACGGAGGGAAAATATTGGGGAAAATGAGACGTTGTAGTTTTAATGCTATAAATATTGACATGTTTCTAGCATTAAACTCTTACAATTTTCAGGTGCTCAGTGCAAAGTCAACCTTAAATCCTGGCCAGTTTGGAACTGGCAACAATACTAGATAAATGGAGTGACCATAAATTTTATTGTATAGTTTTTCAATCTGGGACTTCCCCAAATAAGCCGTGATTTATCAATTAATAATCAACAAACGCAAAATTATGTCAGCTCTAGCTGTCAATTTGTTTGTCGACGTTTATTTCTTGTATCCATATTTTGGTTTTATCAGTGGTTCAGTAAGGCCCATGCGGAGTGTAACTGCCTACCTATGTATCGAAGTCCAGGGTATTGTGACCTTGCACACATGAAAATCCAATAGAATGAACAACACGCTCCTCTGTTGCAGGTTTTGAGTGCTACTCATGTGTCATAAAATTTCTTGAACTTATCTTGAGAACATATTGTTGCTGTTAAACAAAGAAGGCGTTTTTCATTTTTTTATCCAAATACGGCGTGTTTTGTGATAGCGATGTTTGAAGTTATAAACTGCATTAGTTGTAAAAATCTCAAATTTCAAGAGCACGGATATTCATGATGGCATTGAATTTTGCTAGTTTTCATTGTTTTTGGTTAATTTAACAGATAAAATTAAATTTTCTTCATGATCGGTGTGGATAGAAAGGTTTATTATCGAAAACGTGATCAAAAATCCGTTTTCACTGAGTATTTTGCGCCAACAAAGCGTCGACTTTACACCCTATTTATTTTATATATGTATTGCCATATATAAATACTACAACCATATATTAATACTTTCTGATTAATAGAAAAAAATTAACTTCCAGACTTTTGGTCCAGGGCCGATGTGACATATTTCAGATGTGAAATTGTTCATAACAATAAAGATGATTTGCTGGATTTCTATGACATCAGAAAAAAATCAAAATTATTTTGGCGGTGAAGAAAAGTTGAGTAATAGTTTTTTCAAAACCTTTAATGCACAAAGGGCAGATCTTTAATCAAAACACCTTATGAGTCTAATATACCATGATTAAAACAGTTATGCACGTACGTTTTAAAAACGCTTTATTTATTGATATTCGGGAGCATGCACGGAGGCAAGGTATCATAAAGCGTTTCAAATAAATGGATAAGTTAACAGTGGGCAGTAAAGGATACCCAACGAAGTCATTGTTTCACCTATGAATCTAATTTTTAAAGATTTTTAGAATTTTCATAATTTTCAGAAAGATATACATATTATGACTATCGTTAATAAAACCCACTTAATTTTGAAGCAAACCTGGACCAATTTAAACAAAAAATTAAACGACCCGGGAAGTAAAAACGATTTAAAAGTCAACACTGCAGATTACCTGAAAGAGACTTTTGCCGCTTTCTCCCATGTTTTATCTTTCTCCATGGCAACTGAATCCTGGCGTGAAATGATTTGCGTTTCCATTGCACCCACATCCAGACTACGAACCGCTTGGCCACAAATCCTCCCAAAGAGTTCCTTGGGCCATTTAAACGCCACTGCGCGTGCACGCTCTAACCATCAACTATACATTAGCATCAATAAAAGAGCAATAAAAGTGATAAAACTTTATCACGTGCTGAAGTGGTATAGGCTAAGAAAGGTGAGGGGAGGGGTCTTGAGGTCTTGGCTAATAACCAGCATTAACCAACGTTATGATCGGTGTGAATAGGAGCACGCCTGTTTGAATATAATTGTACACTGAAGAATACCAAAATGAGATAGAATTGAGATAGAATTCATGGAGAAAACACCTCCACACACACAAATCAAAACCTTGAAATAAATAAATAAATACAATAACTTCGGTAAGTTGACAACTACAGCCACAGATGTACTAGGACCCACTTAATAGGTTTGCAGGGCCCTAGAATTTGGGAAAGTGTACTAGTAACCCACATACATGGAAACACTGTACACATAATAGATCACATCAAATTTATTTCATACTGGACAGACAATTATTGGCAATATTGTTACATGTATATGGCATACAACAGATACCGTTTAAAAAATCATCCAGGACACCTCTACTAGCTACATGTAGTTGATATATTAGGCCCTACTGATAGAACGGTAACGAGCGGAATAAGGTCCACAATTACTTCAACTCACCAATAAAAAGGCTTCCAAAACCCACATGATTGTTGTTAGACGTCTGAGCATACAGAAATTACCCATTTTTCTTCACTCCCAGGATTTAAGGGATGGCTAGAGTAGAAAAATGGTGTATAAATATGTTGGATATTGTGCTATATAACTTGCCCTAAACCTTAATGAACCGATGATTTTCCTGAAAATTACGTTTGAAGATTATTTTAAGGGACCAACCGACTTTTTGTCCACCCTTTTGACAAGAAACATCATTTTTTGGACAGGATATATGGATCGATAAACCTTCATGTTGCATTTTTAATGGAAGGAAAAATCACTGAATATCACCTAAATATCAATGCGTACGCACAATCTTAAGAATCAATTGAAGGGCTTAAATCATGCTATTAACCTTCTCATAACATTGCATGGTCACTCTGACGTTAGTATTGTTCGCTTTCATTCCCTCGTTTGAAATTAAAATCTTAATGCGCTTATTACTTTTAAAATACAATTTTATTTCTGAAATTTGTCAAAGGGATAAGGTATCACATTTCACTGGTCTGAAAAGGTGTCTTTTTCAAATAGTACTTTTACATTTTAAAAAAGGATAGGGAAGGTAAACCATGACAGAAAAAAACGACAGGGAACGAAAATTTCACCCGAAAATCAAATCACCCTTATGTTTGGATAAAGAGAAAAAGATAGTCAAGGCGAAGCCTGGTTCAGATATTCTGTGTTTGTCTGAGACGTGGAAAGAAAAAGAGATAGACAGTAGCAAAGACCTCGCACCACAAGCTTATAACAAAAACAAAGTAATGTTTGACGTACACTTAGGAATAGGCTTGTCTTGACCACAATCTTATTTCTCACGCCAGGTGGCAATTTTACCTCATTCTTTACAAAATTATTATTTCATCCAAAATTGTATACAGAGCACACAATTAGTATGATATTTATACTATTGAACATTATGTTATATACCAACTTTCAATATACTGTGCAATGTGCACGTATTTACCCCGAATAAACTGAGAGTGCTGTTCTATACTTAAAGGACAAGGCATGAGGTAGACCGACACAATGGCGGACGGCGTGGACATCGATTTGTATGCAGATAATTTAGAGGATGATTTCCATCAAGTAAAAATTTTGCATAATCTTTTCACACTTTGATGCATAAGTCATTTACTTTCTAAAGTATTCGGTTGGGAAAAGCATTGATCAAAGTCTTGCATAAAACGTGCAATGGCATTGTTATCACCCTCTGAATGAGGGATGTCTCTTATTTATATTGTGAAAACGAAGTGATTTGTATTGAAATTGAAACCGTATGTGTGATGATATATACATATTTAATAGGTCATTGTAAATATTGGTGTTATTTGTCTGTGCAAGTGGTTGATTTGTAGCGTAGTAACCCAACAGAACGAGTCCGGAGAAGCCGTTATTTTGGATCTCGTCCCATTTCATGTATTGTCAGCTCGGCTAAATAAGTCGCCATATACAGGATTTTGATAGATTAGCAGTAATTAAAGCTGTAATTAAAGACACATCTTTTTTTCAATGAATAATATTAGTTCCAAACTCAAAAATAATCTATAGCTATGCAGATTTCAGTACGCTTTTTTAAATACTGTACTGTCTAAACAGAATGAAAGGCTGAATATAAATGAATTTTCAGTGTATGCAGAAATGCACTTTTTAAAAAAGGGGTGTTACTTTAAAAGGATGTGACATGCTTTTGGCCATGAATATAGCCTGTCAAAAGGAAATGGGACAATTGCAGGGCTAATCTTGTGCACAGTCCCTGTAAGCTCGATCAGAAACAGATTATCAAACTTTATGTATTTTACGTATTGGTCTTGATAAATTTAAGAAGTAGAAATGTATTGTATTGTTTTAATTTTCTGTTTAGGATGCCGACTTCAATGGTGGTGGAGTCGACCTCTATGATGATGTCATAACATCACATTCAACCTCACAAGACCATTCCACAGAAGAGGTGAGCATGACTACAGGGCTACTTGAACTAGAGGAGATTCACTTGAATGCACTTAAATCTTTCTTTTAGTACAAAATCTGTCACTAATATTTAATAAACTATTGTTTTTTTCGTACAGCAGCACCACCCTAGAAACCAACTAGATACAATATTGAAAGCAAAGTAATTTTTGTACAATATAACTTATGATGCTGCAGTTCTGTTTGAATAAAGTGGAAACTGTCCAAAACTTTTCAACTTTTAACTATTATTTTTTAATTTTTGTACAGCAGCATCACCCTTGAACTAGAGGAGATTCACTTGAATGCACTTAAATCTTTCTTTTAGTACAAAATCTGGCGGCAGTATCACTAATATTTAATAAACTATTGTTTTTTTCGTACAGCAGCACCACCCTCAGTCAGATGGCCAAGAGACCAAACCTCGTGTGCCTGCAGGGACAACAGCTTACACAGGGAAAAGAGTGTCACTTTATGTGGGCAATATGACCTGGGTAAGAGAATACAGAGAGTTCTCTCTTTCAACAGTGAACAGTTTAGGGTACATTATTGAACAATTCTAATTAAGACTTCATTCTCGGTGCGGAGATGATACAGTTAAGAGTAGGATTCCCCTTAAATGACCATTTTTGCTAAGTGTTATCTAAATAAAAAATCACATAAGTAATTATCTATATCTATGTTTGCTTCTTCATTTGCAGTGGACCACAGATCAAGATCTGACTGATTGTATCACAAGTTTAGGAATCACAGACCTCCTGGAAATTAAATTTTATGAAAACAGAGCTAATGGACAGTCTAAAGGGTATGTATGTTTCTCCATCTTAACTTGGAACATTAAGACCGAAATGTTATTTGTTTCACTGATTGTTTGTTTTTTATATTGCAGCTGAAAATGTTATAAGTAGTGACTCAATATTTAAAAAAATTCCTCTGATTTTCACTGAGTGAACTTTCTATGTGATTGCGTGTACAATCTGTGTATAACCCTGCCATTTCATTCCTCAGGTTTGCTGTGGTAACTTTTGGGTCTGACTCATCTTCACGTATAGTAATGGAGAAGCTCCCCAGGAAGGACCTCCACGGCCAGGCCCCCGTGGTGACCCACTGCAATAAACACAACCTGTCTCAGTTTGAGAACCAGTCGCGGAAACCAGATGCTTCTCCTAGCCAGGACAGAGACAGGGACAGAGACAGAAATGACAACAGAGACCGAGATCGAGACAGAGATAGGGACAGAGGTAAGAGGACAGAGTCAGACTGGGACTGGGATAGTAGATTGGTGTGCATATTTGACAAGGTGCTACACTTGTACCATTTTTTTATTTCCATTTAAATTGAAATTTGATTTTTTTCTCAGCGTTGTTCTGCATTAAGCTGCTCTCACACCCCCTGTCACTCAGTTTCTTATTTTTTTAACAAACCAAAATCATGTCTGTTCACTTCAGGAAAAATGTTTGCGTTTATTCCTCAGGAATCACTTCTTAAGAATCATGGCCTAATAAAGCATGGTAACTTGATTAGAACTGAAGACTATGAAATTTGTAATGTCTAGGTTACCAGGATAACCGAGGTCCTCCAGGCAGGAATCACCCCCAGGGAGGTGGTGGGCGCGGGCGTGGCAACCCCTACCCACCCAGGGGGCAGAGGCCAGCAGGACCCCCAGGTCCCCAGGGACCACCCCCTGGAGCTCCAGGAGGACCACCACCACCACATTTTGGAGGTAAGTTTCCTTTGTGAACAACAGGTGTCTTCTATACAGAAGAAAGATGACTGGGAGATAATAGCAGTGAAGAGAATGTGATGTGTAAGCTTTTGGAAGTAATAATTAGGAATAACCCAGTCAATAAATCTAGATTTTGTTGCACAAGATTATTGATTTCCATACATTAATTTCTGTTAATTGTATACATTGAAAATGTTACATTGTTATTGTATTTGTTAAATATTTATTTTACTGTGTGAAAAAGAAATATAGTTATATTCTGCAACAAGTGGAAAGACCACTTATGGATGAGAAAAATTGTTCAGTTGAATTTGAAATCTTTCAGGCCCCCCACGCCCTGGCCCCCCTGGTCCCCAGGGCCCCCCTCCCCCAGGAATGCAGGGTGGACCTCCCCATAGACAACAAGGGCCTCCACCAGGAATGGTAAACATTGTAGACTTACTTGCATATTTAATGATTTTTTATCTTTGAAGGATTTTTTTCCAATAAAAAAAAAAACAAAAAAAAAAAAAAAAAAACAACAGAATAGCAGTGATAAATGCAAATCTATATATCAGACATTTTAAAACTACCACCCTTTGTATACCTATGCATGTGTACTGCAGGTTCCCCGTGGTCCCCACCCAGGGGGAATGAGAGGCCCAACCCCACAAGACCCCAGAGCTGGCCCACCACGGCCCGAGTGGGACAGACCCCCTGGTAAGTTACAAAGCATCAATTTTTCAAATCTCTTGTGAAGATCTGATGTGCTGTTTGTTTCACTAGGTATGCTAAGTGACCATTTTCACTGCTGTCTAAAACTTGAGAACAAAATAAAAAAAGATATGCAGAGAGGAGTTCTCTATCAATTTTTATGGACAGACACTTTGAATGTCTGTTTATCACGATGTTGGTCCTTTAATGTCACTTTTCAAAGCATCCCTGTAGCTGCCAAACCATATTTTTATTTTGTTTTTAATTGTACCACCAGCGTTAGCGCTGGCGGTACACATGGTTTCGGTCCCGTCCGGGCCGTTCCGC